GTACACTTTGTGTTTTTGGATGCGATTGGTAAATAACTGGGTTGAAGATGAAAGTCTTGCGGAGACAAGTGCTAGACTAGTAAATCTTCGAATGTTTGCAGTCAGCGGGTTTTATTTCTGGAATCAATATACGTGGGTTGGAAAGATGAATTCTCTAAGATTTATGTGGAACACATCACCATCAAAAAGTTTCATATAGTAAGATCAATTTTGTCTTTCGTACATAAAACATTCACGCGTGCGCCTGTCAGATGCTTCGCTGGCTAACAATCGCTTCATTTCCATATTACACAGCAACTGTCGAGACAGTGATTATGAGCACTACACAGTATTCAGATTTACTATAACGTGGATGAAACTCAAGTGGTGCTTGGCAGGTGTAAAATTGGGGGCCCGTGCTTATTTGCATGTGACGTTATCAATTTTCAAAATAAAAAGCCCTCTTGAGGTTTAAAAGTGTTATCGGATAGTTTAGATTTAAAAGACGGGCGAGAAAGCTAAAATGAAGGTGAAAAAATTCATCTTAACCTTCGGACGGACGTACATGAAAATTCATACCCCCACCATGGTACAGGAGGGGGGGGGGGGGCCGGATAGACCCCCAAGAGTTTTTGATATGTTGCAGTATTTCGAAACGATTTTACCTTCAGCAAAAAAATGGCCAAAAATGGCGTGTGACGTCACCAACAATGGTCGCCATCTTGAATTTTACCAAGAATTAGAAATCAGGTAAAAACCGGAAGAAATGGTGGCTTTTTTGTGCTTGAGATGAAAAATAACACATAAATAAGCACTTTGCATGATTTTAGCCACAAGAAGTACTTTTATTGTCGAAAAAAGTTGAAAAAGCAGTACTTTCTTTCAAAAATGGCTTGAACACCTCCTACTTATGACATCATATCTCTTAACCATGGAAATCACTGAACTTGACTCAAAATGCGTGCGAGGGATGAACGAACAACTACTCAAAACATCATGTACTGATGTCTTATCCTCTAGGAGAAAACTCAGAAAAACCTTAGGTATCCACCCCCCCCCCCCCCCCCCCCCCCCCCCCCCCCCCTCTCCCCCCCCCCCTCTTTTTATAATTATTTTTTTTCATTCTATTAACTACTTATATTTATAATTTTTATCTCTTATGTTATGATTTATTTAATTTTTTTTATTTTTTTCTTTTTTTTTTTTTTTTTTTAATATTAATATTTTTAAAACTTACCAATATAATTTAAACTAAAATATATTTTTTAAAAAACTTAAAAAAAAAAAGGAAAAAAAAAAAAACCAATTACAAAGAAATAAAAAAATATAGTTTGGGCCTAAAAAAAACAGTATCAAACCCCATAAAAAATAAAAACCTTAGGTATCCCCCCCCCCCCCCCCCCCCTCTTGTTCGTCCGAGGTTTAACAGTCCTTATATTATAAAAAATTATTCTCTCTCGAAATATGTCAATGATGAAAATTGGCCGTCCCTGAAGAGTGGTTAAATTGTTAGTCTTCTTTCAACTCTATGATTAGATTTTTGCTCAGAGGGCAAAGGTGCTGGCAATACGTTTGTGTTCCCGACCATATTGGAATGAACCCCAGCTACAATGTTATGGTAACTTGTTGAATACGTTCACTCCATCGCTGGTAGTAATACACCTATTACCGATACAGCGGCCGTATTGAATTTACTAGATTTAAGGAGTATTATGGGCTGCCCAGGGGACACTCGCTCAGTATTTACGCGCGCTTTTCGGGCAAACAGAGAACTTCACTGAATATTTCTCGGGAAAAAGGCGATCATTATTACATCCAAACACGGCACAACGATCATTTTTTGCCATTACAATCTTTTTCTAGGAAAACTTAAAGAAAAATTGGCCCGGAAAGCGCGCGTAAATACTGAGCGAGTATATCGGGTCGTGCTCATGCCCCCTGGGCATCCCATAATGCTCCTTAAATCTAATGAATTCAATATGGCCGCCGTATCGGTAAAAAGGTCTGTTTGTCTGCATTGTTTAAAATGTAAGCATTGTAAATTTAATACATATCCTCCCTTGATATGGATAAAGTTCACAAGTTCTTTGGTGGAGACTCCATTTAGACAACTATTGTTTCTGGTGCCTTTAAAACTCTAAATATAAGCGGGATCAAGGCTCCAGGAGGAACAAAGAGCTTGCATTGATCTAGTTTTTTTTTTTACTCTGACTTAAATTTTTCAATTTATTTAGCATATACTTGCAGAAGGAGTCTCTTGGGGACAAGAGCTGGCATCAGGTGTGCCATGCCTGGTCTAGCAGAACATCTGCTTGGGCAATTTACATGGATGGAAACGAGGAAAAGACAGGACTCTACGATTTTAAGGATACAACTCAGCTTAAAATATCCTTCCCGGATTGGGGAGCAGTTCTCGGCTCCAACCAAATTTTACTTTCGCAAGTGAATATTTGGAATCGGGTTTTAACCAGCCAAGAAATCAAAAGATTGTCTGGAAAATGCGACGCAGGAGTGGACGGTTTGGGCAATGTGGTCTCGTGGGCAGACCTTTATGACGTGAGTAAGACTGCAGTGTTCTCTAAGCCATCCACATGCGAGGCGCATTCAGCACAGACCCAAGACAAAGCAACGACAACTGCTACCCAGGGACATAAGCAGGATTTTCCCATAGGTACGCGCAATTTTCCAAAGGAGTTTTCTAAGAAATAGTCTGTTAGTTTAAATTTATTATAAAAGTGTGATAATCTGGTGAAAATTGTAACATGTGGCACTAGCATATTGAAACCAAAACGTCACACAATGAATTGAATATTATTTTAAACATCGCCTTTAGACTGCCCGTGATTTGCACTGTTCCCTCTTCACAACAAAAGAGTTACTTTTTTGGGAAAAGTAGTCCTGCAGAAGAGTTAGATACAATTATCCTGGTCCCAAATCTCTTGAGTGGAGATTAGCAGACCTTTTTAGCTTGCATGTACTATTTGTTTTCCATTTCAGACCATGTCAAGTTACCCCGATAGAACCGCGGTAATTTTCAATTTTGTCCTCTCCACTTGCATGCATATGTATGCACAATTTATGAAAAGACCAAAGGTAAATTTCCTTGAGAACATCACGTGGTCTGGATTGGGAAAATAAAACGTACAAGCTAAAAGTGTCTTTTTACATTCATTTTTCCAGCAAATTTTAGAATATTTTCAAGTTAAAAATATTTGATACAAAGGCTAGTGGACATGCATGATTTGGTTTATGGCATCCCTCCCACATGTAACGCCGCTAGCTAGTACTGACCTTCTCTCAATAACAATGAATCGTGCTTGCTCCAAATTAATAAAGGATAAGGATGCCTGTCGTCTTGCTTTGGGGTGTAAATTGCATATTATGAGCTCACAGAAAAAAAAAAACAATATTAATTATTACCCATACAGGAGCAGCCTAGGCTGAAACTGCATATGGAGACGTTCGTTTGAGACTATAAGGCCACGTCCACAGGTGTCCCGAAATTTTTGAATCCGCAAATTTTTCTTTGCGGATTCAAACATTTTCACGTCCACACGTAGCGTATTGAAATCTAATTTGCCCAGATTCACTCTCATGCGATATGTCGTGTGGGTATAAAAACTAATGCCCAAATAAACAATTTTTTTAGAAAATGTTTCATCATATCGTTCAATATTCATTGGATGAAACGGTCAAAATTTGAATACTTACAAAATTTGTGAATGTTAAAAGACTGGTTATAAGATTGGGCCACTAATACTGACAAACTAACAAGTAATTGCAGCTGTAAATTTGCTTTCTGTTTGGTATTCACAGAACCAGACGATTTCAACATCGACTCCAAAAGTTTTCATACAGATGATGAACCAGGTTCAGGTGCCCTCCGGAAATACAAGGGAAATTCAAAAGCCGGTCATGCTCGCCGACATTTTCCTGTAGTGTCTACCCACCTACAAAAAAAGCACTCCAATAAAATGTAGAAAATGATAAACGTCTTTTCTCAGTTTACTTGGCAATGCAATAGAAAGGAAATAGCCTGAATCCGGGATACACCATTAGAATCAGTAGATCGTCGTGGCAGTGCGACAAGTAGAGAGTCAATGATCATAGTATTTGATTAATGCTATAAAACTGAAGTGGATCAAAGAATTTTTGTGGAAGGAGATCGAACAACTCAGACTCTTCCTCTCACGATGCGCACAGTGCATGACATTCATTTTTAAATAATCCATCTTTGAAATATCACGGGCACCCAATGACTGTTTTCTGTAAAACATCTGCTCGTAGAAGCAACTATTGCCTAGAATTTTCTATTACTTGAGGACGGCTAAAAATGTGTAGATGACAAGTTAGGCTATTTCGCGTAGAAAAAATGAAACCTAAACTTTTCGGATTCAAAAATGAGATCAAGAGAGAAAGCAGAAAATGTCTCACTTTCGTGAGACGTGGAGAGTGCAGACGTGTGGAGCTGTGCTCCCGAAAATTCATTCTAAATTTTAATCAAACAAATTTGGAATCTCAAGTCAAATCAGTAAGATTCCTGCTGAATAAGCGGATAAAATGAGTGAACCGTCGCGTAAAAACAGAAGCAAAAAAACTGATCAAGTTCATGAAGAGTCCCTTGTTATCAAAGATTGCGTCGACGAATTAGAACAAGAAGGTGATGGCGACTATGTAATGTATATGAGATAATGAAAATACAAGAATCGTTGTTTCGCAATTTATTTGATTCATTGTTGACAAATGTTAACAGCAGAATTGATGGCGTTGTTAAAGACCTGGCTGAGCTAAACTCTAACCTACAGTTCACCCAGAAAGACGTTGAAGACCTAAAACCAATAACCAAGCAGATGACTAAGATTGTCTTAAGATTAACTGAACATTGTTCCCAAACATGCAACTTTCGAACAGAAAAATGAGTTTCTACAGCGATTTAGTTGGTAAGAAGTGAGAAGAAGTCTTGAGATCTTCTAGTAGAGAAAAGGGCTTAGTTCCCCAACAAGACCTAAAACACGAACCAGGTTTAAAAGATTAAAATTCCACAACTAACGTGGGGAGCGCTCTCTTTTCTTTCGTTCTAGTTTCACCGCTGACCAGTCATATTGATGGATCATAGTTTCGAGGAGGTTAAGGACATTCGCAAGAATTAAATGATCAAATGAGGGGCAAGCTTATATCTTAAAAATTATCTTCATCCAGGTGCCAGGTGGTCCGTTTGTATTAAAAAGGATTAAGCAATGGAAGATCGTTATGGTTTTCAATATATAACAATTATTCACCGAAGTGAAGGTGGCTAGTGGTGACAAATTCACCGAAGCCGCGAAGTAAAATAACCACCACTGGCCACCGACACTGAGGTGAGTAATTTTTTTAGTCCATACTAAGACAGTGAAATAATTGAGTACAAAAATAATGTTTTTTAACTCATTTACTGTTGCCAACGATTACAATTTTGGCACGCTATGACCGAACGGCCGCGGTCGTGGCTTTTTCTTACCGACAAATAAAACTTTTGAAGGCATTTGTTTAGCTCTTGCGGGGAACTTTCTTCAAAAGGAGTTGTGAATTCTTTTTGTATTTAAAATCATTCTGTAAAAAAAGATCATTAAATTTAGTTTTAAGCTTATTGATGAACAAGTCAACTAAATAAAGTAACGTAAAACTTATGCTTAATTCGCAGAGAGAGGAGGAGAGTTCCTAATCGTTATATATTATTATTATTGGCATAAAGGCTGCTTGGATCGCATTAATTGCTTATGCACACTTGACCCCAATCACGGCTCTTTAAAAGTAAATGCCTATTAGAGAAGATAAAAAAACTAGAACCCTTGTTAAACTTATTGCTTCAACGATCATCCGCGCGCAGCCGCAAAAAACTATCACTGTTCTGTCAGTCATACATATCATCTAGAGTTGTCATGGGATTGTGACAATATTCCTCTTCAATATGAAGGAAGATCATCGCAGTTATATACGCAACTTTTGCAGTTGCAAGAAAAGCCGAAAAAAATTCAGGCTTGTACGGGATTCGAACCCTTGACCTCTGCGATACCGGTGCAGCGCTTCACCAAATAAGCTAACAAGCCAATTACAACATTAATGAAGTCTTGAGTAGGCAACAAAACAAACCAAGGAACCCAACAGTCACGGTACCCAAAAAAGAAATCCTTTTAGTACTAGCTTATTTAGGGTTGCCAAGGAAAATTATTACCAAACAATGCAACTCAAGGCTTGTATAAATAAATTTTATACGTATGTTGATTGCAAGAAAGACCAAGAAAGACCGTGTCTGATTCATCTCGGTAAACGCTTACAATTGCTTTTACACCACCCTCACCAGCAGCCATCGTGTATACTGGTGCGTTCTCAGAGGAGCGTTAACGGATGGTGCATGACACACATAACTTCTACAGGAAATTGCCTAGCTAAGATTACCCATATAAACGCACATTTGATCACATCATCTGACGAAAAGAGTGGAACAATGCTATAAAAAGGTCTGCAACTGGTTCTGCAGAAAATAAAGGACAATCAGTTTTGTCAGTTGTCAGTAAAACCAAAGGCAAATTTCAGTTGTCATTTAAATTTTAGGCGATTTGTCAGTTGTCAGTTAAACTTTTGGGCATTGGTCAGTTGTCAGTTAACCTCATCCGGACCCTCATAGAAATCACTGAGTTTTGACTGGCAATTTTTCTGATTTGAGAAAAGTCGATAAAAACTCATAATATCATCTTCTGTTACCTTAGAAAATAACTTGATTTTATTCCCGTCGTTTTTCCGGGCCATTTTCTCTACTAGGGAATGTTCTTCGAGGATAGTTTACTAGAGCTTTTAAAAATTCTTGTGATACTGCGGTCAGTAACTCCTACAACAGACATAAAAAGGCTCTAACTAAGACCACCATTTTGAGTACCGGCAGCTTGGCCTGCCTGGCTGGCCGGCAATGTCAGTGAATAAGTCTACGAAAATAAGTTGCAGAAAAAGAAAATAATTTATATAGAACACTAGTAACCGGTTACTTGAAAGGAGTGCTCTTGAATGAAAGTATGAGTGGGAAATATTGTCTATAAAACACTAAACAATTAAGAAAAATAAAGCGACCTGTTTTTCCGCTATGCTATGCTCGGCCAAGCAAAGTGGGTTTCAACTTTCAAATATTAATAACTTAACTAACCGAGCTTGGCGGTAATATTTCAAAAGACTCTTACCATTTTATCAAGCCGGTTATGATAGCAAGGTAAGTTTAAGGTACTTTTTTGCATTTGGTTATAGAATATTTTTCAATTTAATAAACTATCAATCTATCTAACCTTACATTTGCATTAGTAAATGATCTGACCTACCACTGACAGTCATAGGATAGATCAATAAAGGGGGCCGTGACATTTGGTTTTATTAGAGACTTTTAGATTCTAAGACGTGTACGACTACGAGTAAGAGATTTTCTCAATACTAAGTAGTAAGCGCGCGTAAACAAGCGTCATTTTGGTGGGAAAATGTGATTTTATAGTCATCGTCATTCTGCTACGAGTTTTAGCGAGAATGTCGTGTTAGCGGACAAGTTTTAAAGTCTTAAAGGTTTTATTATTTTGCGACTGGAACAAAGATTAACCTCCTTCAATCAAGATAACAGTGCTAATTTTTTGGGTGAAAAAGATGTACAATGAAGCTATCCGGGGTGTCTATTATCTTAGAATACGCGAAAAAACAGTTAATTCTCGTACTCGTAGTCGTTCTCGTCCTAGAATCTAAAGGACTTTAATAAACCTCTAACTCATGGAGTAGTACAATGACTGTATTAATGACGTTCCACTGTTATATTAAAATTATCCACTAATATCAATATTTTTCCCAACAATGGTGTGTTGTTGATAGGCAATGGTTAAGGTATATGTTAACTATGGCCGGCTAAGTAAATTAGGTCTCTGATTTGTAATGTCACAAATTGAAATTTTAAAGAAGGATTCCAGTTAAACCTGAAGACTAATTCACCAAACTGTTAATGTAGTAGTAATGACTTCCTCTCAAAGAGTTCATTTTTGGCTACGTTTATAGGAAATTATAAATTAAATAACCATAAACAGTGACTTACAGTACGGGCACTGAAACCAGGCCTCTTGGAAGAAGATTGTCCAATCAAAACGCTTTCTGAAAAGAAAAGAATCTCAAGTTTTTTTTTTTCAAATGGAACAATAAAATTCAAGCATTTTACTATGCAACATTTGGGAATTTTAAAACCGTTTGAACGTATTTGACCTTTCAGGAAACAGCCCTCAAATTTTATAAATGTTATTCGTCCGTTTGAAAAAAAAAAAATATTGAAAATCTCTTGACTACCATTACTGGTGTAACTGGAATTTGGAAATGTCGGGTTTTTTTTGGGGGGGGGGGGGAACCGGGGAACCCGGCAAAAAACCCCCGGGGAAAAGGAAAAAAACCCACAAAAAACCAACCCCCCAATGGCATCCAAGGCTGGAATTTAAACCGGGGCACATTTTGGAAGGGCAGGCTACCCCCGACACCCGACCAAAACAAATTTTTATATGGGGGGGGGGGGAACCGGAGTACCCGGCGAAAAACCTCTCGGAGCAAGGCAGAGAACCAGCAATAAACTCAGCCCACATATGGAATCGACGCTGGGATTTGAACCCGGGCCACATTTGTGAGAGGCGAGTGCTCTCACCACTGCGCCAAATACAAATTTTAATATACTGGTCTATCACAGTGTGTGATACTGACTTATGAATGAAGGTTTATTTTTTCAGGAAGAATAATGAAACGAAGAACTTATCTGCTGTTCGTCGCTACCTTTTGCATGGCTTATTGTTGTAAGTAGTCACATTGGTCTGCATCAGAGACAAGACAGAGATATAGAAACGTAATCTATATTTCTACTGAATAACACGCAATAACCTAAGACGCGCGAGGCGATAGAAAAAGACATTTTACGTGCATTAACTTAATTTATTTTATAATAAATCAAAGTGACCCGCGGAAATGTCATACAGAAACGCTCCTAGTCCAAGTTTGATCTAATCCTGGTTATTAAATTGATAACAGTGTACATGCCGAGTTGTTAGGTTAACTTAATCTTGATCTGCGTCATCGTCGTTTGAACAAGTGGACAATGAAAGTGACATTTTAGGTTAATTCAGGTGATGGTGATTTAAAAAGACTCGTCGATCTTTTTTATATTATAAGTAGTTGCTTTTAATTTCAAAAGTGAAACAAAACTTAACTTAACGGAGTATTGGATAATGCGGCTTAGGAAAAATAATTTTCGTCTTTCCAGTCTGACTGTGCAAATCACACCGTTGTGGTTTTGTTCTCAAATCACACCTGTCAAGTGCTCAGGAAGCTTCTGATTTCAATTCTCAATCGCCTATTTGTTTTTGTCTTTTTCGTTTTGTTACCTAGGTGTAGCCCTGGAAAAAGGACCAAGGAAAAATGATGAGCTGAAATTAAGAGAATTCCATAAATCAGTTAAGAAACACACACTCAGTGAGGATCCATCTTGGCAAGGAAAAGAAAGGTTGAAGGATGAGTCCAAGAAAAGTACTCTACAAGAAACAACCAAACAGGGTACTGAGCCTGAATAAAATCAACTTGAAGTCATCGTTAAAATGGCTGTTTTCAGGTGTTGCGGGACCCCCATGACGTGGTAGCTAATTGAGAGAGGGGCTTTCGAGCAAAAACGTTTTCAAGGTTACCTGCACTTGCGCCTGACTGTTCCTTCATTCACCTTAAGGGGTCAAAGAGGCATCCTGAAACTAACGAGACAAAGGCGGATTTTCCCTGTCGCGTATTTTTTACGTGCGTACTGACGTAGATTTTACGTGAGTAAATGAAATCAGGAGAAGATGCCTAAGAGGTCGAGCATAAGCGTATAAGTTAAAATTCTTTCAATGTTTTTGGTGCCAGGCTTAAAAAGCATGCCACAGAGCAAAGTAGTAATTAATGTGTGCTTAGTTCAATATTGTGGATATTTGTTTTGGGGACGAGGTTGGTTTGGTCACAATGGCTTACGTATCTGTCTGTATCTTTGTTTAGAACAAAGCGCTCAAGGCTCAAAGAGGGCTCTGCCATTAGCAGCGTCTGTTTTAAAGAACCCCAAGGTTCAAGAAGCTGTTGTGGACAAAGGATTGGAAGTGATGAACAAATTGGTTGACAAACAGCTCAAGATCATCGACGAAGCTCAGGAGAAAGCCTCAAACTTTTTAGCCAAAAACGTAAGTGCATCTGCAAACTTAGGAGCTGAGACTGAATAAAGATGACTCTCCATTAAAGATTCTTCATCGTTATTACCAGATTAAATTGGACATCATGCCAGACAAAGGCTGGAGTACACCAGACATGTTTGTACCCTCTGGATACCACATGGAGACGGCTCTTTCGGAAGTAGAAAAACCCGAAAAAGAGCAAGGAGAGGTTCCATATACTTATGCACCCAATACGGGTGTGGGATATGTCATGATGAATGGCTGCTGGGGAACAAATTATACAGCCAGTGATCCTTGCTATAACGCGAAATGGACTTCCAATGTCTGTCAGGTAGGTGACCCTCATAGGTGAATGATGTGTGGAAGGACGAAGCAGGCGCAGATCCACACCGGTTTCCACCATCGGTCAGATTTTTAATAAATAAATATACTTTTATAAAAACAAAAATTTCAAGTAGAGATCTGGCCATATCCACTCTGAATGACCCAGAAACCCAGGAAAGGGGACTTGGAGAGTTAAAATCCAAAAAATTTCCCAAGGGGTAGCATCACCGGACGCCCCTAGAAGCTTGCACCTTCGACGCTCGTTTAGGAACTCGGTCAGTATTTATCCTAGATCCATGCCTACGGAGAGAAGAACATATGAACTTCGCTGACGGCAAAATTATGTTGTGAATATGCCGACGGTAGTGGAGGAAAAAACAATGGCAATGTGGTGGTGTTAGTGGAGGGGAGGTAAGAAAAAAAAGTGGAGGATAAAGAGCTAATTTGCCTTGGAAATCATATAATATGCACGAGATGCCTGCCAAGAATCAGTGAACCGGAACTGAAGCAACTTGTTGGACAATAAAAACGGCAGGAAATTGAACTTACACAATTAACTTACGACTCAGTTATTTTAAGTCACATACGACTTGCGCTCATTCCTTAGACAACAACATGAATCAACCAACTTTTTAATTCTTTTCTTACTTTTTAGTCAACCACAATCAAAACGCAAGACATTCAACGACCCAGAAATGACTAAAAAATCTGTATATATAAAACCACTTAAAAATAGCACATTACCTTATCTTAATGAAATTCCGCCACGTGTTATTCATGAGAAGACAAAAGGCTATGACGTCATCGGCGTTGATGTATTCCGGCTCCCTTAATGAAATCCCTGCCCAAAAAAGGAGTTAATTCTTTGCTCCCTATACTACTATCATCGGCACTCAGAAGAGGAAGCGTAGGTCAGCTGTGAAGAACAATTCAGGTTTTACATTTTCTTGCAGAACATGATTGACGGAGCAGCCTTTCTAGGAGTTGGCTTTGATGGTCGCGGAGATTACAGTCCAGAGTCAAGAAAAATGAGCATTGTGCAGAGAAACTGTAAAAACAAGGCAACGTAAGTCTGAATACAGTTCATACACGAAATGACTCCTTAGGTCCTGTCTGGGAAAAGTGCGGTGAGTATCAATAACAGAGTATTTCAAATATTCATATCAATTGATTTAATTAGATGAAATTTGAATTGATACTTTTATGTCAATTATGTGGAGCCAAAATGGAGGTCTTATGGATCAGACTGCATGTGATGCGACGAATCCTTTTAGTGACAAAGTCAGTTGCCCTATCCTTACAAAAAACAGTCATCTATCAAATAAATTTAAAGATAATTTCATTTTTGACGCTCTTAAAGTGTCCAGTAGGGTGGAAGTGTGTAGGCTTTATGTCAGCCACTCCGCACACTATTAGAAAATATTAATATGAATGAATAATTGTAGGTATGACGATTTCGATGTGCCCGATACCATGAACGTCCATGGAATTTACGATACCTCGGCTACTATGCACACGTTTGAGAGCCGTGCAGAATTTCAGCAATATTTGCAGAAAGAAGCTGGTGTATCTGGGTCGTACTTCGGGTTTTATGCAGGAGCAAAAAAGGCCTGGGGAAGCTCAACCTCGACTGCTGGACAGCAGTTTATGTCTGTTTTGGATATTGATGTAGACAGGTAAGTGACCGTTAGACTGATGGCAGTAGAATGAATGAATGAATGAATGAATGAAGAGTCGTGGATGAGAGGACAACAGACGTGCCCTCTTACGATACATTTTTAAGATGTGAACAGTAAGCTTGGACGTCAGCATACAAGGGCGCCACTGGCAGCCGCTCTCAGTCCAGTTATGAGGCTACTGTACCCACCAGATCCATGATGAGAATGATGTGATTTGTGAAGGTTGACCACAACACCGGGGTCTACGTCACCTACTCTTTTCGAACAGTGGTGTTTTTTTTTTACGTCCGTCAAGAACCAGATAAGTGTAAGTGCTCTGAGACGGGACCTACGACTTTTCGTCCTTCTCCGAAAAGACTACTAGAAAGTCTAATCGTTTGCAGGTGTTGGTGCGGCCTGGGTTCGAAATGATGTTGATCTTCAAATTATTAGACTGTGAAGGTTTTACTACGTCAGTCATTCTGTTCTTTACGCAAGGGAAAGAGCCGAAATTTTCTGAGATGTAAGATTGTAACTAATGCGCACTTGTTGGCTTTTGTTTATGCGGGGTATTCCCTGCCGTGTATTGACGTATTCTAAACTTTCGCGTCTTTTTAATGCGTGGTCCTTATTCGATACACCCATAACCAGCGATTGAACGTTTAGGTTGTCCTGATTTAAACTCGCTCGTTCGGTTTCGTTTCCGTAACGACGTATTCTCCATATGTTCACTTGTAGCCCTCTAAAATTACCACGGTATTATTTTCCGTTCCAACGCCAGCGTTCTTTTTCATATTGAGATTCCTAGTAGTAATACAAAATTAAAATTTGACACGATGACATTAGTGGATGCTTCAGCATTTGAATGAGGTTTAAAAACGAACTAGCTCTAGTTGAGCATGCGTGTAAAAATGGTCTCTCTTTCTTTCTTGGCAATTGTGCACAGTGAAATTGTTTTAAATTTTGTTTTTTTTCCTGAAAAATTTAATATGTTTGCTCTCTAAAATGCAAAAAGTGTTTTTCGATGGCGCATTTGTGGATAACGGCATTTCGATACTAGAACGCCCGACTACTTTAAAGTACGAAATCGAAAAAGAAGTTTTCATGGTATTATATGAAAATTAATGGTCAAAATAGAGAAATAAACCTCTTTTTAACTAGTACTACACTTTAATTATCATCATTGTTAATCATTTCTATTCTTGTGCTGCATTAACCAAGGTATGAAATTTTCATGGATGAAGTTAAGCCGGAGGATTTAAGCGTTGCATTTCTGCGAGAATTTATGAAACTTCCAAGATCATACTTCGATGCAAGAGCTCCAACAAAATACCGTAAGTACCGGCAGAAATATTTAAAGAAAAGTAAAAGAACTCTCTGGTTCCTTTGATAATTCGGCCTGGCCTGAAGTAGACGTTCTCATTACTTACTTTCTTGAAACGAATCAGTGTAAAACCTCGACACGGTAACCTAGTTAGTCTTTAAAACTAGAAATATTTCGTCTCTTTGCTTGAAAATTATTGTTATTATATTTAATGTGACCATGTTTTACTGAGTAAGCTGAGTATATCTACAAGTAAAACAACTGCCTTTCTTCTTTTGCTTTGTAATAGAAAGTTTTATTCAAAGATGGGGAACCCATTATATCAAATCAGCGAGATTTGGCGGAGAACTGGAAATACGTAAGAGAATGGACGCCAAGGAGGCAGGATCTAAAACCCAGTTTTCCGAGAAAATGGAATTTGAATATAAGACTCTTTTTGCGAGTGTCGGTGCAAAGTATACAAATGAGGGAGGAGTGTCTGTAAGACAACAGACTAAAACAACTTCCACAGAGGTTGAAGCCAAAGGAGGAAGTCAAGATATAGCGTCCATTCTGTCTGACATCTACTCACCAACGTTTAAGACAGAATTCAAAGAATGGCTGCAGTCGATTCCTAAGTACCCAAAGGCGTATAAATTTGTAATGGGAAAAACTTCCGACCTGGTGAATTTCCGGGCCAGTGATTTGTTTCCAGAAGAGAAGGTGAGCATTTGTTTTTGGATTGATTAGTTAAGAGTTGATCATTTATCGCGAGCTTATGAAACGCCGAATAACGTTGGTGTCCTGTTTGGGGTTTCGCTTGACAAAAAGTTAAAATTAAGTTTTGTTTTCATACCTCCAGTACTCCTGTATGACGTTGTCGAGACAGGCCACTGAAAGAGAGAAAAGATCAACTTCAGGTTGCACAGAATGTGAAAATTCTTGCTGCTTATCGCTTGTGAATAATACCTTAATTTGTTTTGTCTTCAAAAGCAAGGTTTTATATCTAGTGTGTCTTCCCTCCCTACTTCCTGGCTGAGGAACTAAAACATAGTCGACTTTGGGCGGTCCATCTTACCGCGGACTTTTTCCTCCAGGTAAGCTACGGCTGCGAGGGGAAAGCGGCAGAAATCGAGACTGACAAAGATGGGCGTAAGTTCTATTACACCTTTCCCATTAAAGGAACGAAGAAGAAAGTTTATTGCGAATACGACAGCCGACAAAACCTGGAGACAGCAATTATGGACAAGAGGACAAGTTTAAAGAGAGCCATTGAAATCTACATGGAGGAGGTAATGCTGATGTTGATGTGAACCCATAGTGTATATCATTCGCTAAAACTAAAATGTCTCTGTGCTTAATTAATGTTTAGGGGCCCGTTTCTCTATCGGATGTCCGTCTTGAAAAATGTCCACCTGATACAGTGACCAATCCCACGACAAAACCTACTACCCAACCCGGACAGTCAGCAGACAAATGGATGAATGATAAAGTAGTGGTTCCCAAATGGAAAGAGCTTATCCGCGGTGACTCCACTTTTCAAGTAACATTTGACATGCTGAGTGATCTAACAAACCCACTGCATATTGCTTTCAGTATTCCAAAGGACATGAGGAGGAATGTTCGCTACAGGTACGTCTTTAATATTAGAAAAGCACGTTTTGACTTCATTAATTTATTGTGCACACTTTTAAGCCTCAGAAGTACTGCAAAAAATGTCTAAGGCCCGGTTCAGACGCCGAACTTTTCATGAGCTGAACCTAATTCGAAATAAGGCTGACTCAATGGGCTGAATTGATATCAGACACCAATCTTAATTCCAGCTGAACAAAATTCAAGAGGAGGAAAATGTTAATTTCGATAAAACTGCTTGCAAAATTCTTTTCATAAATAAATAATTTATACATTAGGTTCGGGACATGAAAACAGCTTGAAAAGTTCGGCGTCTGAATCAAAGTCGCTCCAAAGTCGAAATTCCGGCTAGGCGGGAAAAACGGGTGAGCCGTTCCAAATTGAAATAGGTGTTCCTGATTGATTCAGACGCCTAACCTTTCATGTACTTAATTCAATGCATACTTTCGGGTTGTGAAAAGTTCGGCATCTGAACCGGGTCTAATGTCACTTTCCATAACCATTTTATCTTGAGGGCGAAAGGTGCAAAAAGACCGACCCATAGCCAGAATAATAAGCCTAAGCGTATCGAGAAAAATATTTTCCACACGCGTATGACTCATGATCACTCAGTCAGACATGGGGAAAAACTGAAATACTCCAGTGCCCCTATGGATATCAGCAATATGTACAGCGTATACAAGTTCTTGACCAAGATAGCTGGATATTCGCCAATTTCAATTCTTTCTTTTTGGCTGTCTTATGGATGGAGACCATTTAAGAACGCAAAAAAGAGACCAATATTCACTGAACAAATTTGGTCAATATAAAATATTCATAATAAGGCCAAACGAACGTTTTTTTTCTTGAGGAGCTTAAGCGGGAAATCCTGCAAAAGGGCGAGACAGGACCATCTTTCCCGCTTGGGTTGTAGCTCATCAGAACACAGGTTTCGAATCATCTCAACACTCGCGGAACCAAACCATATGATAAAGCTTAGAGTGTATTAACTACTTAGCTTAACTTGATGAGGTTTTCAATCTCCTCTTTCCTCCTCATCCCCACTCTGAACACCATGTTGTATTTAATTGTCACTCAAAAGATACGTGTAGAAGGAGGAAAAAAGGTCACTGAAAAATTAAACATGATTGATTAGAAGGAAAGAGATTGGCGGACGGAGAAATCTGTAGAGTTTGGTGCCATCTAAGTAAAGCCCATTGGAAAATTTCAAAACAGAACTTTACAAGTATTTCATATCTATATTTTCTTAAGGGATGGTGAATGGTACACAAGTGACGGTAATAACACATTTCACCTGTATAGCGGTTTCAGTGGTTCGACAAATTACCACCGAAAACGTAAAATGTCTATATTTGGATTGAATTTATCCTACAACGAAAAGAAAGGGTTTTTATATCTTGCTGAAGAAGATTACAAATCATCAAAGAAAGTGTTTCCTACATTGCCAACTGACTTGATTGGAATACCATTAGCACGGGTGGAATCAGTAAGCCGAGACGAGCATGCTAGCAAGAGAAGCGGGTCTTCCGCCGCACCCAGTATAGGGGTACCTTGCCACGCCGAATGGTCCAATGTCCTCCGTATAGACTTGGAAGACATGCAAGGGCAATGTCTTCACTTTACTGCAGCGTCTAGTGGAACGATATACGTGGTGTTCAGTGCTTCACCAAAAAACTTCCAAGCACGTTATGTCGTGGAAATTTCCACAAAAAAGGTTGTCATCTTTAAGGTATGTTGAAAAGTGTTTTTTTTGTTTTTGAAAGAGTTAGCAAAAGGTATAAAATTAAAGAAATCATTTGGTTTTGAAATGAATCCTCCATATTTTTGATTCAGCTAAAAGAGGATGGCCATGGGCTCATTTCTTCCCCACTATACTACTAATATATTCCTTGTAAGACCCTCATGTGACGTCTTTACTGCGCGCCATTAGCTCAAGTTGAAAGGAAGAGGTTATCTGGAGGCAACAAAGCTAATTGTATGAATTCAAAGTGAATACAGTGTATATGATATTTAAGTCGTATATTGAACTGCGGGAGAAACATTTTTTCTATAAACTGTTTCAGTGTGATGATCTTTCATTTGCTAAAGCTTTCTTCCGCAGTTCAAGTGTAGCAGATTTCATAAATTCACTTTAATTTATATTTTAATCTTCTACGGATATGTCACGGAATTCGAAGTATCGACCCCGCTCCCTGCTGGCTTGAAAGCTCAGTGGTTAGGTGCACTGCATCGGTATCGCAGAGGTCATGGGCCGGGTTCGAATCTCTTTCAAGCCTTATGTGTTTAGGCTTTCCTTATTGTGTACATTAAACTGCGATGATCATTTAATTGTTAAAATAGTTTTCGTTAGCAATAGTCAGTTTAAGCTACAAGCATTTTATGTGCTGGTGTAGGGTGAAGAGGCAGCGTCTGACTCACCATCCATTACCGATGTAAATGCTATGGCCATTGGGGAAGGCGTTATTTTCGAGTCTTACTTTGTGTGCATCACCATTTCTGGTAAAAACACGTTGATCGAGTACGGCAAGAACCAAGGTACCAGGGACGCTGGAAACGTCTATCTTTACCTGATAGACAACGACAGAAATTTTGATGTAAGGTTTTATGCTTTTGGAAACAAGGACGAGCCAGTCAATATCATGGACGCTCACATAGTCTCGCATAATCGAACGGATATCCAGTGCAAGGGGGATACCAAGAAAGACGAAATCGAAAATCTGTGTGCAAAGAATTGTCACAGAACCTGCAATCCCGTGGCAGGTTGGTAGGATTTTAAATTGGTATAATCTTCACATTAGACACCTGTTTCGCAAAATTTCAATTTACTTTGCCATGTTTCTTTACATATATTGCTAAAGAATTATTGATACTGGCAGAGTCTCGCTTTGGGTGAGCTCTGCAGGCTCGGACCCAAATAATGGCGTATTGATTTGGGGATGAATTAGGCCTCAGAAGTGGCCGTTTATTCAATTTAAAAAAACGGCAAATATTCCAGATACACAAGAATTTTACACAAGCAAGGGTGATGGAGAGCACATCCGCCGTCCCACTAGGACAAATAAGAACCAAAGGGAGGGGGAGGGAGGGAAAATCTTATTAATCTTCCTTCATGTGACAGTGAGCAGAAGGGTCATGCGCCTATAGCTTTCACGACTTAAGAATAACCCCGAACATGAAATACATTAAGAACCAGTCACAGGAAGCAAAAAATCATTTCCTTCTTTGGAAAGAAAATTCTTTTAAGATCAACAAAAACAAGCGAAAGCCCCGGCACTTTCATTTCGTTTCCCTTCGTAAGGTTATTATTGTGACTTCTACGTGACTTCTACCTTAAACCTCATTATGAATTTTTTAAAATTGTAAAAAGTGGTTTAATCTAAGTATCTCTATTGCTTTCCCCGCCCCCACCCTTCCCACAGTTCTCAGAGATTTGACGAAAGGCTCTTGCTTTGACCTTTTATTTTAAATAATATTTAGGTTGCAAAGCACCGGACAATGATGAACAGTGCAACGCATGTAGAGTTGTTAAGGCAGCAGGGAGCTCGAGATGTCTTGACGAATGCCCGGCAACATCTATGATAAACAAAAAACGGGAATGTGTTCGTAAGTGTATTGACTTACAGTAGATTCAAAATGTAAACGTCACGATATCCGAGGGAACTAGTAGGATGCTGATGTACAGGTTCCCCAGACGTTGCAAACCAGCAATTCGCTTTGAATGTGTGTTCTTAAGATGCCAGGAAGCGTTTCCACTTCAGTACTTTATTGTGATCTTCTCGTCTTAATTCTTATCATTGAAGCCTCGCAATTTTTTTTAAAGTCAGCCCAACTATAATCCCAACTATGATCAGGCCTTTTCCATCAGACTTAAATGTGTTACTTGAAAGTGGAAACACGCGTAAATCCTGCAATATGCAGCAAAGTAATTAACTGGCCTTTTAAAACTTTTTTAGCATCTTATGAAGGGAAAGTAGAAGTAGGCACTGGAACTCCAATTGAGGTGAGAGATATCTCGATCGGGGATGAACTCAGCACATGCATGTGGCTAAAGCTTTCAGAAGGAACATGGAAAAAAGATAACCACATGGCATTTCCGGTTTGGCTGGAGATGCAGGGAATGAACATGCTCACTTCCTTAACTGGGGAAGGTGACAGTCTTTACTTCCTGTACGTACATGGTGGCATAAATAAAAGGTAATCAACAACTGAGTTTCTTTAACTTTTGGAGCCTCCAAATTCAAAATTTACCATATATAGTTTCGTAGGGATATTGTCATGCTTTATGTGACACATTTGTTCGGTTAGTCTTAGCATAGTCGATGTCAGGTGCATGCCAAATGTCACAATTCTCCACATCTAGCTAACATTTTACACATTTATTCCCAATGTATTGCGCACCTTATGCTCCCAAAAATGACTTTGTAGAGCAAAACAGAAGAGACTGACGTTTTGGAGAATGGCATGGTTCTTACTTTGCAAGGATAAGAAAAGCTCACTTAATTTCTCGATATGGAGATAAAATTTACTTGGCAATGCGTTCTTCACTTTGTTATTCTTGTTATCTCATAGCACGGACTTTTCTGGTAAATTCCTTACATTATATTAACGGCTCAACGTTCTCATAATTTGTTTGAATTAAGGCTGAACGTCGATGTATTAAAGGATAAACTATGGCATCAAATCTGCATTTTATGGTCAAGTAAGACAGCTGTCTGGTCGATATATTTTGACGGAGAGAGGGAAGCCTACGGCATTTATAACGACTTTATAGGACGAAGAATTGGAAAGTTTAAGTACGGAGAGGCTTTGTCGTTAAATAAAATGCGTATGACCCAGGTCAATCTTTGGAACCGCGTTCTCACAAATCAAGAAATCGCAACCTTCGCAAAAACATGCAACCAGGGAATAGGTGACCTTGTTTCCTGGGCTGATCTGTATGACGAGACAAAGTCAAGCAGGTACTCCAAGCCGTCCACCTGCAAAGCAGTTCCCGAGGCTTTATCAACCACCGCCACGCCTGTGACAAAAAAACCAACCACCGAACCCACAACTGCAAAAGCCACAACAACTGAGCCAGCATCCAGGTAAAGAGGCCCTGCAAAAAAGATTTTTGGCAACATGTAAAATCAGGAGCCCATAAGCCGGAACGCACAATTCTTTTGTGGCCATGCAATAGCGTTTTCAAAGACCAGTTCAATTTACGAATTTTGACCATGAAATATTTCGTCTTACTAATCAGGCAGCAAAAACGAGAGAGTAGAAAATAGTATTCTGATGTTTCTATAACATCCGGCCAATGTTTCCTTTTTGCCACCATGTACTATTGATGAGCACACGCACAGACGGCGCTACCATTCTCGCGGGAATGTATTTTCTAATATGATGCCAAAAGTATACTGATCTGTGAAAACCCTGTTGCACGGACTACCTATTGGAGGTCAGTGCACTCTCCAGGTTATGGACTCCTAATAAGATATAATTTTGGAAATAAAATCATTAATTTCTTTGAATTTAAAACGGAAATGGGAAGCTTTAGCAGCCAAAACCACAAAAAAGCCAGAGACATAATTCTCGCATGATGCTTTTTGCTCGGAGGAGCGCGGGCTCATTTAATTCTTGAACAGCGACTGGTAACTTTAATAATAAAAATAAAAAAAATGCTAGTCCGGCGCAAATTAGTATGTGAATATGCTCAAATGCCCTTAAATATATATAAGCTATATTTAAGCTTACACATGTGTCTATAAAAGATATATACAAATTATATAACATACTGTCTAAAATTAATTAAAAGCTAAAAACCTGTAAAAATTTCCTAAAATATAAATTAAAACTAAATCTAAATTTAAAATTTGCTAGTAGCCACGCTAACAGAGGCTCTGGCTGTAACAAGCAAATGCTTTCTTGAACAAGTGCATCTTAATTGCTCCTTAAAAGAGAACGTAAATTGTAATCGCCTATATTTCAGAGAGTAATTTCTTCAACAGCCCAGGGCTGCTGCATGAACTGATTTCTCTTCAAGAGCTTCGGGATAGAGCAGCTAAAACCCATTTCCTCTCACCACGAAGGGAATACCGTAAACTGCCGCTTATACATGTCACCCCCCTCCCCTCACAGTTAAAGGCCCGTCTATTTGCACGTCTATCATCCATGCCCGCGCGTGGATAGGAATTTTATCGTCGAGTGTGCAACTCGAGAAGATAAAACTCGTATCCACAAGCGGGCATGTAATATTCTGTTTATTATCACTGGATACCAAATTTTCGTCACTGGTAAAATCCTAGTATTTCACCGGTGTCTATATAATAAATTAAATCAGTTGCCGATTCAAAACGTATTTTGATCAGAGGCTGGTATAGCTTGTTTCGAAGCACTTATTTCTATTCCAGTTATAAGCCCCCTGGGAAATTAAGCGTTTATAAGCCCTCCTAAGACCCCTAACGAAGATGTATAAGCCCTGTAGGGCTAATTATAAGCGGCAGTTTATACGGCATACCCCTGGCTTTCGGCGGCTGCTTATGCTCCTGTTCCAAGGCATAGAGCAGATGGAGACTCTTTTCACGAGGCCACCCTGTCAAGTCCTCAAAGAATGAAAAGCTTTGTTTTAACAGTTCGCCGCTAGTTCTCAAGATTTCCACTGCTAGACGTACAAAATATTTTGTTTTATTCAAATAGTATCCTCGCTGTAAAGGACCAGTCACTGATCAACGAAAACCCCTGACGTGACATGAATTTTTTACATGTTTAACCTCCTTCCGTAGTGAATGTATTGTTCACAAATTCCAGCGGGAAAAGTACATCCCAGTATTATTTTGAGAAAAGATACGAGTGTTTTTAATTTTGTAGACATGTTTCAGATGGACAAAATCTATAGTACGTACAGGGAAAACAAAAGAGCGATTCGGCTATTGTACGTTTAACCCGCCTACTTCCTGATGATGTGCAAAGCCGTGCGTTCATGGTAACCAATGAAATTACCTCTTCCTTAGTATTTTAGAATAACAATGGGCGATATGACAGACCTTGAAACTTTCACTGACTGTAAGTAAATGTCCCTAGAACAATAGCCATTTCTCCCGATGAACCCGTTAATGGGTGCTATAAAAATTTAGAGTGTGATTGTGTACTGGTGCTTGCGAATCCGTTCATGGGACACAAGTGAAAACATTTGGCTTGAACTGTTTTAGGCAGATATGTTACGTTTTGCTCATTTGATAACGACCAGGGTGCTATCAATGGCATTTTTTTAATCATATTACTCGATAAATTATTAAAAATTATTCCCTCTTTCGCCCACTACTTCCAAGCGCCTGCGACGCAGGCTATCCTGGAGGCCTCATTGCAGCTTAACATCAAGTAGGCTTTAAATTTATTGGGAAAACCTTCTCTTGACGAGGAAGAGGCGTTGAATGTATTCATTTCAATCCTTCACCAACAACTTTTTTTTTCGTTTTATCTTTTCTATAATTCTTATCTGGTTATAAGTAGCTGCATGTTTGATTTTCACGTTGTAATCAGTTATTTGTTTTACACTACAAGTATATTACACACTTACAAGCGAGTTCTGTAGTGACAAAAGGTGTTCATCGGAAATATACCTTCAAAATTTAAAAATAGTCCTAACTTTTCTCAAAAATTTTTCTTCCCGGCTGGAGGTAAGGGAATTGAGCAATCTCTATTTTATTTTCAATTTTTTTCTAAATTTGAAAATAAAGCACACACCTGCCACTAGTATTTGTGGACAATAGTTTGTTTGAGATGGAAACTTTATCGTGTAAAAATGTATCATCGGCCGGTTTTGGAATCGTGGTAAGTTAAATGAGGATATCGATAACTAAAGGCACTATTCTAATGTTTGGCATGATATCCTTATTAATCATTTTTCTGTTCTTAAAGTCGTTTGACGTTTGAATGAGTATGTGTAAAGTGAATTGTCCATTGGATTAAATAAATGAACATCTTGATTATTCTGCTTTAAAGTTTTAATATTCATTATAAAGGAAATTCGTAACCGCGCGAGCCCCTAACAGTAGCCGACACCATGGCGCGCATATATGTGATGAATATTCTTAAAGTTTAACAGCGAGGGAATGCGCTTGTTATGTTAAAACATTTCTCAATTCGAAGTTGTTCAGGTGGGGTTTAGGGTTAGGCAGTTAAGGTGCATATTTTTTAGTGTGTGTGTGAGTTTTATTTGGTTATTATTTAAAACTGGATCATTGTTTAATGAAATTCCGCCATAGACTTTGTGTTTGTTATTAAGAATAAGTGGTTTTTGTATGTATATACAATCGCATCAAGCGCAAGAAAAAGGACTGATCACTGAAATCTTCTTCTAGTTGGCGGCTCTATATAACAAAAGTAAATTGATCTACTCTTTAGCGTATATTTTTTGCTGTGCTTACTTAACAATTATTTCTCGATCCCGAATGGGCTATTGACTCAGAGGCTATGGGGGCGAATTTGTTTTAGTAAAATCCAACTAAATGGTCAAAAATATCGAGACAAAACAACTTTCGCTACTAGTGGGCTATAACATAATTATAACCTAGTAGTAGCTCAACCAATCAGAACGTAGCATTGATAATAGAGCACTAGTTGGATTTTACTAACATCTGATGAGTTTCTGCTGATATCCAATGCGCGAGCTGTTTGATTAGCTTGGGCCTTATTTTTTTGTGTGTGAGGGTTAGGGTCCGTGAAAACTGCCAGTGGGCAATGTTTACAATAACATAAAGATTGAGAAAAATCGATTATGTAAGGGTCACCGCCTTTTCTCTCTTGTCTTAACTTGCTTCTCTCCAGAGAGAGTGAGGATGTTGCAAATGTGACGTCTTCTTTAGGCAAAAAATGCCGCGATTTCCTTTCCGTATCATTTTGTTCCAACGCATTTTCTTTCAAACCAAATTACTTCTTGTCATAGCATCTGCCACGGAAAAAATCTTCCGGTTTTTCAGAGCAAATTGGTTAGAATAAATAAACATGTGAATGTATCTAATTGCTTTTTACTCTTTTTAGTGTAGGACAATAGTCGCTCTTTCGTACCGCAGAGGTCTTTAGAAAAGACTCAAGTACCTGCTGCGTTTTAAGTGCACCAGGAAAAAAATTCTCAAGTAGTTAACAATGAAAAATATAACTTCGATTGGAGCCATTAACTCGAACTTGTAAATAATGTTCATATGCAAATTAAAGACGGCTTTTGAGCTTCCTCGGTATTGCCAATAATAAATTCAGTCAGACCTTTTTAATAGATTCCTTTTAATTATACTAACAAGAGAACTGGCTGACAATAAGACGAACTGCGAAAAAACCTCTTTTTAACCGTTCACGCTGTTTTGCTGGAAAATAACTTGTTTCGTCTCAAGTGGTGAAGCGTTCAATATACCCCTTTTTATACCTCGGTTGGATATTATGTTTTTGGCTCACGGAAAAACGCCGTCTAATGGTGAATGCCATTCGGTTTAGCCATGGCTTCAAACAGCAGTGCAAGTAACACTGGAGAAATTAGTTCGGAGAGCAAGGAAACTGCCTTGATAATCGGCATAGTGAATTTGTTCGTTGGAATAATTGCGGTTGTGGGAAATTCAGCCCTTTGTTTGACAATTTACCTAGATCCATTTCGACGCCTGAGGAGTACGGCAAATTATTTGGTGGTAAATTTGGCAATTGCGGACTTACTCACAGGCTTGATAACCGAGCCTTTATATGCAGCCTATGAAATAACCAGCTACATAGGAAAAGAGGCGTATACTTTGTACATTATAGGAGAATCGACTGCCTACGTTTTTGTAAACGCTTCTATTTGGTCTATTCTTTTGTTGGCTTGGGATAGGTACGTTGCCGTTGCTTCACCTTTATTACATGCGCAAAAAATGGATGTTAAGCGTATTTTGACAATGATAATTCTTCTTTGGATATACTCAATCATTTTTAGCTTGTTACGATTCATGGGAGTGCCAGAAGATATATTTTACTGGGTGGATTTGCACGTTAACTACACCTTTTTTGGGGCGATCTTAATTGGGCTGTATATTTCTATCTATTACAAAATTAGGAACCAGCTGGCTTTGTCATTACAGGCCCAAGGTTTCAACAGCCAGACTAAAAGAAAGCCCACGCACGATGAGATCGAAGCTAATGCCAAATCAGAAAAGAAAATGACGAAAACTGTATTTCTTCTTTTGTTGGTCGCTATCCTTTGCATGCTTCCTCTTTACATTATGCTTCATGTAGAACTTCTCTGCGAGTCTTGCATGGAAATTTCGATGGTAAAAATCCTAAGCAGATTGTCTGAGCCGCTTTTGTTCCTGAATTCGGGATTAAACCCTTTTCTTTATGCATGGACTATTCCAAAATACCGCCAAGCGCTCAAAGCGATACTTCTTCGAACTCGGTGCGGCCAACGAACGAATAACGAAAACATAGAAGAAGGAGAAACTAGCACTAGCGGGAAAAAACCTTTGAATACATATTGTATTCATAAACAAAAGGTGTTCACAAGTCAAGAAACATCATTACCAAACTGGAAAGGGTCATCAAAGGACATCACAGTTCAGTTGCTAAAACTGAGAATCAACAACTGCATGTGAAATATTTACATTAGGAGTTGTCCTTCTTTATCAAGTTGACTTTACTAATATTCTATTTATTTACCCCATGGCCAGTACAAGTGAACTTCAAAACCCTTCAATTTGCGCACTCCGGGGAAAGCTATGTACCTGTCGGTATATAACCATTGCATTTGCGCTTTTCTTCGTCGCTGTCGCAGTTTAAACTAATCTTTGAATCGTTTTCCGCTATTTTAGCTGTCTTATGTCGATGTTTCAAGGTCATGTCGCTTGTTGGAATTTTTCTCCCACAGCAAGGCCTCTGGACTAAAAAAAGTACTTATAGAAATTCGCCTTCAATTAAGAATAAGCAGAACCTTTACAAGCAATAAACAGCGAATATTGCTATTTTCGTCAAAAAAGGTTGGAAATATTCTTAGAGGTCTTTACAAAGAAGTCAAATGCTTGCTACTTGTTGAATGCATTAGTAAAATCCTTTTTTTTTTCTGAAGTATTAAAAAACAAAAACAAAAAAAATTCTTCGTGCTGAAGACACTGTGAAGAAATCAAATTCATCTTATAAAAAACATGTATCTAAAATAAAAGACAGCTGTTGATTGTTTCTCATGCCCCCGATCGATGATGCTACGGCAGTTTTGCTTCGAGTGTACGCTGACCACCCAAAGATAATGTTTAGGGTCTCAGTGAAATTGCTCAATAAAAGAGTTACATATAACGCATTATCTTATCACGTGCGTTCGAATGTTTCCAGAAACTATTTTGATCAATCATTTTGCTGAGTCAATTATTTTATATATCTTATCATAGGCTAGCCTGAGTAAACGGTAGACATTTTCCAAAGCCACCACCGGTTTCGCCAAATGATGTAGTAGTCCTACTGATTGGTCGTATCGCGTGGGAAATTTGCTTCGACCAATTAGAAGCTCTACCCAGATCTGGGTAGTGATACGTCTTCAGTATGGAATTTTTGTGCTCATTCTAAAAAAGACGGCTGTTTTTTCAGGCTAACTATAGGCCAGTTCTTTGAAACCAAAATTTGCGCGCATGCTGGAAAACTAGATCGTGATCGATCGACTTCTTTATGATAATTGAACGGCCTTGCGAGCCATTATTCTTGATTGTCCTCAGCTCTATCTCTTGGCCAATAAAAGAAGCTTTTATGATTGGTATAATAATCTAAACTTCGGCAGGTACAATTTTATTAGTTAATGAAAATATAAATATGAATTTCTAATCGCGTCCCTAGTTCGTCAGTTATAAACGTTTTGAGGAAATAACTTTTTATAATATCACCATAAGCCAGGATATCGATAGGTAAAAGGCTATATATACACCTGGTATAGACATCTAAATATTTAAGCAATAGAAAACGTTTTCCGTGTTTGCATAGCCTGTTTAAACACGAGAGTGGTTGGGAGAATTCGAGACAGTTATGCAAACCCGAGACGAAGTCGAGGGTTTGCATGACAGATAGCATGTACAGTTTGTTGTCTATTAGACAAATGGCTTTCGGTGCGAGCTTCCAAAAACTGCACAACAAAATTGTACCCTTCATAACCCTTCATCATAACTGGCGAAGTTAGGTTGATTCAAAACCTTTTTATCTCTGACTGTCTGAACATAACTTTCATTAGGTATGCGCTCTTTATGAAAAACTGAGTTATTGGATAATGCAAATTCTAGAGCTCTGATTAGCTTATATTAGCCATCATGGTGTATGAGACATACCATGCTCTCCGAATATATTGGCTGTACACGTCTGCTCAAAATTAAAAACAAGCTTAAAATTGGTTGTTTTTACAAATAAAGTCGGGAAGAATTCACGATATTTTGTGGATGTTTTTAATAAAACAAAGTCAACTCGGCGCTACGCACCTCATTAATTTGGCTTTCTACCATCTCATATTCTACGCGCAATCTTTTTTTAATATTGAGATAGTTTATCTACACTGTTCCGATTCGTTTAGTTGTTTCAATGATTTGCCATTTTCTCGGACAAAACAAAACAGAGTTTTGGAAATTGAATCTGGTCACCAGTAATGTTTGTAAAGTTACCGCTATGAAACAAAAAAAACTCACCTAACGGAGATTAAGACCTTAATGTGATTCCATAGTAAACTGAACCTAACATAGATTGTAGCTAAAACTTGGTACACTGATGTAACAAGTCAGAAGATGATAAAAAAGTAATAAAAAGTAGGGGTCACCGTGCTCCTTTTGACGTCACAATGCTGACAAATACGGCTATTTAGGACCCTTTTACGAAAACCGCGGGCAGCCCAAAACTAGACAAAAAGGAGAGATTTTTTCGATGATGCATGTGGCATCACACAGAATTTTACTTTAATGTTTTGTTTATCCACTTACGTACCAGAAAAATGCCTTTTAATTCCCTTGTTTTTACTTTACGCTCCAAAGTAGAATTAAATTGGTCGCGCGCTTTTCGACCATTGATGACTCAATCCGTACAATTTAGTAAAATTGCCAAAAAACTGAACATAGATTTGCGCCAATTTTTTTGCTCATCGGAAGGAAGCACGGTCGTTATTAAAATCATGAAATAAAAAATGGGGGTCACCGTACTCGTTTTTGCGGTAGAGCTGCAGAAAGTGCGCACCAAACGCATTTTCTCCGATTTTTGAGAGAGGACTGGGGCGAGTTTCAAAATAGAATGTATGTGAAAGGGGGAAGAAAGTATTAAAAAATCCGTTTTTACAGAATTTACATCGAGATATCACATTTAGGACACAATGTGATAAAGAAAGTGTTTAAATGAAAATCAAAGTGAGTAAGCACAAGTTAAACATCCACTATCGAGGTTCTCCGAGAGGAGGTCGAACTCAGCAACACGCGTACTGCTTACGTTATGCACATTCCCAACACATTGAGTCTCACCTCGGCAAGAAACAACAGCAAGCAAAAATTCCAATAGCGTTTCTCTTCAGTCAACTTCATTTTCATAATATTACTTCACATGCTCTTTTTTACGGCGGCCATCTTGTTATGCGCAGTAAGAGATGCGCAGTGCAAAACTGGGGAATCACCTTAAGAAGTGTCACCATACCGGATAGCTCTGTTTCGTGCCAAAAGTTATCCAATGTAGTGCGAAAGGCAACGGAACAGAAATGCAGCAAGTTCGTTCACATACATCAAACATCCTGCAGAGCGGTTGATGATGATGACCCTATGACCCCGAGGATTTGGTGAATTAATTCCCAGTCCTCTCTCCCTAATATTGACTGTCGTCTCAGTGGATGCCAGACCTCGCTCCTACTTATTCTCTTCCGCTACAGTCCGAATGCCTGTTTACACTGCACAAAAGTGTGGCACAGAACCTATCCGATATTCGAGGCTACATTCCGTTACAGAAATTGTGCTAAAGCCCTGGGGACGAGGTTGGTGTGAACAGAAGCCCCATCTGGTGTATGGCTTTCGCGCCGGCGTAAGAGTCTGCGCATGAGCACAGGCTATTTTCACAAAAACCAAACCGGAAAGTAGGACCTCTGTTTACACATATAAGAATGGTGATTGATTTTAATGACGAGCCGTATCCTAAAACAGGAACCACCAGGCAGGGCTTAAGTGGGAGAGGGGGGAAGTAATCCGAACCCGTAGGGGTGAGCATGCTAGGGGGTCTAGGAGCATGCTAGACCGAGAAAATTGGGAAATGTATCGGAAACTATTAGCACGACAAAAAATTGTAATGATTATTTTGCCGCTGTGGCTTTTGAAAGTCGGTAATTGAGCAGGCTCTCCTTCAATTGGAAAAGAAGAAAACTAAATTTAAATTTTTCAAACCTCAATTTTTAGACAAAAGATTTAAACGGAATAAACCGCGCCCATGGTGGTAAAATAGCTGCTAACTGCGAGTTGCTTCTTGTTCGTTTGATCTTCTAACATTTGAATATCAGTCATTATTGGCTCAAACCTCACACAGCACTGTTAAATTTTCCGAAGACGTTCTCTGGACATTCCTTCTATTTTAACCTTGCCAAGACCCTCGTCGGATTACTCAGGCATATTTCCACTCTTTCTTCTTATAAATCGCAGCTGTACTTATCCTTTCAAAGTATTGATGGAAACAGAGCGATTTCATTAAATAAAGCAAGGAAATATTCAGTGACAAAACTTCATCTGAGACTCTTAAAAATCAATCATTCCAAGAAACTTGATCCACCATTGATCTATGATGATCTGAACCAGGTAAAACATTTTTGCCTTTTAACATCCCAAACGGTGGGGAGCTAAAGCCCTCCCCCCCAGCCCCTCCCTCTCCAGGGTCATTTTAATTCGTAGATTAATTATAATGTTAACAGTTTCTGCCCCGAGTTCAATAAAAATATCGACGCATGTTATCAGGACTTACTCTGCCCATTAAGCTATAAACCACTTTGGAGGTAATGAAGATAATAACTGATAATATAAGCAGTTCTAGCAGAAAATACTTGCCAGAGTCAACCAGGCGATATATATTCTGTTTGCTATTCAAAAACAACAGGTTAGAACGACCAAAACACAAACAACAGAGGGTGACCTTGCTTGCAAAATATTGGTTGTTAATGTATACTATAGGCCTTACCAAAGCAAACAATTCTAACTCAGAGATCGCCTGATACATTTTCTCCGCAAAGTATAACAAAGTGGTAAACAGGCTCTTTGTGATCAAAGTATTCCATCTGGGAAGGTTCTATGGAAATTACAAAGCTACAGGTTTGGTAAGTACGGTGATTAATAAGTAATTTAAAAATTATAATGCTACCTCAAGGTTTCATAAAATGACTAACTGGAAAAAATATCACGCAATGGGCTAGCATTAAACCGATCGCTGTTTGAGACAGTGCTCTAAGACTTTTAACGACCTTTCTTTTTTTTTTTTTACGATCATAGCTGCAATAATAACGTTACAAAATACTACCAGAACAAGCCTACACTAAGTGCATTCACAATGGATGATAGTCAGAGTACTTTGATAATTAAATTAAATTGAACTGCAGGTTTAATCGCAAAGTCAGTCGTACTGTGATCGATGTAGTAGTATGTAAAATATATACAAAACAAAAGAAAAATCTTCAAAGCCTTACGTTTGACCAGCCTAATACATACGTCCTTCGCCTTCAAACTGATTCTTATCAAAACAGTGATCTTAATCAACTACAAAACAAATGGTAGGTGTTTGTCCGTCCATAAAACATATGCCACTCAAAACAAATTCACTTAGAGTGTCTATCCACTCACTTGCAAAGTCTATTTATTTACCATGCTATTTATAGGGTAAAACGTTTACACTGTATATGGCGCTCTAAAAGGCATGTTCGTCGATACAGTCCTATTTGATGTTTGTATTTAATATTTTGCAATAGATAACTATAGTTGTAAGAATCATTTTACGCTAGATTTTCAGCTTTTTCCTAGTTTGCGTGTAATACACTTTATATTAAAATGGTGGCAATATCACTTTTATTTTATATTTGTGTTAATTCATGTCACTTTTTTTGCTTCTCGAGCCTCTGTTGAATCTTAAAGGACTTTTCACTCGAGGCGTTGAGGGTCAATCAATTATTACGAAGACATGGATAACAAAGGCTATCCTCAGATCATACTGGATAGCTCTTCGCACCGGTTCGAAAACAGTACCTGATAGGCCTTCTGTTCCGAAGAACGGTGAATTCTGGTCTATTTTTGTAAAGGTCGACTTCCACTGTCGCGTAAATTTTACGTGCGTACGCACGCAAATTTTACGCGCGTAAATGAAATAGGGGCATTGTATTAAAGGTCACGCATAAACGTAAAAAGTTGAACCTCGCTCAATTTTATGTTTACTTATGGCCTTTCATCCATTGTCTCTTTTTCATTTACGCAAGAAAATGTTACGTGTTAGCACGGAAAAATACGCGACAGTGGAAATCAACCCGCGCCGATATCGAAAGTGAAGCGTCACATAGTGGATAAGTTCTGTGCCACTCTTTGGTGCGGTGTGAACAGGTATTCGGACCGTAGCGGAAGTGAATAAGTAGGAGCGAGGACTGGAATCCACAGAAACGGAAGCGGAATACTCAAAAGTGAGGACTGGGGTTTAGGTCACCAAATGTAAACCCGCCCGACCAACCGCTACGGCATGATGTTCGATGCGTGTGAACGACTTGTTCCATTTCTTTGCCGTTGTTGCTGTTCACACTATACCGGCAGAGTTCCATGTGGAAGCCTAACGAGTCCGACTGACTTGCAGTATTCGTCACAGCCATTTCCTTAGAGTTGATATATCTTATTTTGTAAAGCCTATTACTGCAGCTGGAAAAACCTATTGAAAACAAACCCTACTCAAATTCAGCTAACTTAAACTAAAGTACAACTAGTTCTAAAGTACACTTTTTTTAGTTGTAATTACGNTATTCGGACCGTAGCGGAAGTGAATAAGTAGGAGCGAGGACTGGAATCCACAGAAACGGAAGCGGAATACTCAAAAGTGAGGACTGGGGTTTAGGTCACCAAATGTAAACCCGCCCGACCAACCGCTACGGCATGATGTTCGATGCGTGTGAACGACTTGTTCCATTTCTTTGCCGTTGTTGCTGTTCACACTATACCGGCAGAGTTCCATGTGGAAGCCTAACGAGTCCGACTGACTTGCAGTATTCGTCACAGCCATTTCCTTAGAGTTGATATATCTTATTTTGTAAAGCCTATTACTGCAGCTGGAAAAACCTATTGAAAACAAACCCTACTCAAATTCAGCTAACTTAAACTAAAGTACAACTAGTTCTAAAGTACACTTTTTTTAGTTGTAATTACGGTGAACCAAATTTTATTCACTGTCAAGGTTAGAGATAGTTATTCGTTAGTTATCACCTGTATATTACGAAGTTATCAGGTTTTCTTGAAAAAAGTAAGTGACTTAATGAGAAACGGACACTAGAAGTATATTCTGGCCCAGTTTTAAGTGACCTTGCTTAGTATTAAATTGTGTGTTTCGTTTAGGCTCCCATGCCTTCCATGTTTGTTGGGAATTATGACATCAATCTGCTGTGTATCAGGGAACAAACAACCGCATATTATTTTCATTCTCGCTGACGATTTGGTAAGTAATTAAGATTCATGTTATACACATTCTATTAACATCATCAATTACCTGTGAAGGAGAGGAGTTCGTTTTTAGAATTTCTTCCTCGGGAAGAAAATATCAGAGGACAATATAAGGAGATGTCACGTGACTGGCATTCGATGTGACTTTGAAACCTAGGTTGGTCTTTCAGTTGTTACGTCCCGAAACTTTGCCTTCTTATACTTTATATATGGTAAAGTTACTAGTTACGCATTTTTTTGGCCAGTTTGACCAGGTTCTTGAATAATAAAGTAAATTGTAACCATCACCAATTCCGCTCTTTTTTTTAACTCTCTGAACTGAACGTTAGCCTAAAAAGCCTAAAACTTTAAACTTGAAAGAACAAGATCATTTTTTGCCCCATAATGATTCATGTTCAGAAATTTCAAAAAAGCTGCTTTAACATAGAATGTTATTATTCGTTTGCTCACAGGGATGGGATGACGTAGGTTTTCATGGGTCACGTCAAATACCAACTCCAAACATCGACGCCATGGCCAACGAAGGCGTCATATTAAACAACTACTATGTGTCGCCAATGTGCACCCCAACCAGAGCGTCTATCATGACAGGAAAGCATCCGATTCACCTTGGTAAGTCGAAGAAAGGTAGCCTAATGCAGTAATGGTACAATTATATGTTTTTGATATTTTATGTATGTTCGGTACATTATAATTCCCAATAAATGACGTACCTACCGACGTAGAAGCGATCGTCACTGGGCAGTATCCCAAGAATTAGGTGATGTCAAGAGACTATAAAGGGGACAGAGAGGGCATCCCCCATATACACCCTATTCCATAGGTAATTCGTCTCGAGTTATTTTTAACACCACAGATCTTAAGGGGGATTAGACAACAGCCAATCACATAGCGCGAATGTGTTCCGCGTGGATGACCCACGCTGAGAGCCACGCGTCCTTCACGAAATGACGCAGAACAAAATGGGGGAAGACGCGGAGAGCGATTTTGCTATTCCTTTTGTCGACGAAAACGACTACAGCGAGATTTCTGCGAAAGCTGTGTCAGCGAAACCGAAATTAAAAAAGAATCGCCCTTCCTCTCTTGTATAGAGCTAACAGTAGAGCAGGGAAATCCTTAACACACTGAATATTCTCTCAGGATCATTTATAATTTACAGTTTGAAGAGAGCAATTTCTGGTTTGATGTTTATTTTTTTCAGTCTTTATAGCGATTATTCCTACCCACTTACTTTGTCAATTGTAGGCGAACCCTCCTAAAGCTGAATTTCAAGGGACCATATTCAAGCTCAGAAAGAGAAATAAAATTTCGTCGTTGCTTATTTACGTCCTCCATAAAACGCGAAATTAGGCATTTTCACGTCGTAGTCGTGCAAAAACGGGAAAGAAATGAACAAAAAAGTGTGTTGCACGTGCGAAGTTGTTGTTTTGCTAATTAAACCTATTGTTTTTTTGACGTTCTAGTTGTCGTCCGCGTCGTTGGATCTTAAACTCCCTAAATTGTACAAACGACCGGTTTCAATAGACCGGCGAAATTTCTCATTTTATTAAAGCACTGAGGTTACGACAACTTCGAGTTAAACTGATTTCACGGGTTGTCAAAGAGTCCAGCGATTCCTTTTTCCCAGGTGAGCGCCGACTCATTTCGCTTCAATATTCAGGAATGCTCTCGATCTTTTTACGCTTTCATTGCCTCTCGCCCGACATGTTTTGCACGGCGTTTGGTCATGCGAAACCTCCACGAAACATCCACGCCTCGCGCGAGGTAACTTTATCCCGATTCTAAAAATAACTCGAGACGAATACCTATGGAATAGGGTGTATATGGGGGATGCCCCCTCTGTCCCCTTTATAGTCCCTTGGTGATGTAGAAACTAGACATTAAGCAAAGTGTAAACGCATGCAACAACTCCCAATATTGTTGGGCCAATAATGTTGGGAGTTGATGTGTCCGTTTACACGTAGCTTATATATTAACCAATGATATTTTCCCATCAGGTATTCAACACTTCGTGATTTTCGCAGCACAGCCATATGGCCTTCCTCTGAAAGAAGTAACGATTGCGCAATATCTGAAAGCTCTTGGTTATAAGACTCATGCTGTTGGGAAGGTAGTGATAATGACAGTTATTTTAAAAAGCTTCGATTGTAACGCTTACCAGAATCAATGCAACTTTTAACTTAGCAGTTACATTTATTTTAGCTTGCACAAAACGCGACACTTAGTACTGTCTTTGTCCTCTGAGATATTTCAAAAGTTGCTTTGGGACTCCTAGTGAGCTATTTTTCAATGTAACATTAACAAAAAACTGTGTTAGAGACCAAGATTCCCGTTTATGGCTCTCGACCCTGGGGCCTCCCCTTTGGATTCTCTGCTCTTGTTCTCATAGGGGGAGATGAAAATTAAAACAGTGAAAAATGATCGTAAGAACTGAGGAGTCTGAGCCAAGTTACTACTAGATAGCAACCGGCTCTTCAAAAATTTACCCCTTTGGTATTGCTTAATCCTTTTTTGTTTGCAAGTCGCTTTTTAGAGTTTTTCCCACGCTCTAGGGTAAGCCTTCTCGTTTTTTTTCACCCTTATGCGATCAACAAGTCAAGTAGCCTGAGAAAACAGCCGACATTTGGCGACGCTACCACTGGTTTCCCCGCCAAATGACGTCTGAGAAATGAGCTCAGAAATTCCATACTGATGAGGCGTCACTACCCAGATCTGGGTAGTGCTTCTGATTGGTTGAAATAAATTTCCCATGCGGCACGACCAATCAGAAGCCCCACCCAGATCTGAGTAGTGACGCCCCATCAGTATGGAATTTCTGCGATCGTTTCTCAGACGCCATTTGGCGGGAAAACCAGTGGTAACGTCGCTAAATGTCGGCTGTTTTCTCAGGCTACAAGTCAACCTTGACACGCGTAATATCATTTCTTTTTCAGTGGCACCTCGGATATTTTACCAAGGAGTACACTCCCTTGTACCGGGGTTTCGACTCATTCTTTGGGTTCCTAGGCTCTAAGGAGGATTACTGGGATCACAGCTCGTTTGAGGATTACTGGGGCTATGACCTCAGAGACAATATGAAGGTAAAAAATCACTAAGAAAAATGGAGACTGGGGAAGATGCCACCTCAGTCAATTCTATAACGGTAAACACTCGAACGCAATTACCAATCCCCTATTACTACCCCGGGGGGATACATCAGGAATTTTTGGGTGGGGATGCGCCACTGGCACCCTGGAAACCTTAGCCTTTACCAGCATTTGTATGGGGGAGCTACCGTTTAAAGGAATGCTTTTGCAGTCTTCTCGGCAGTAAAAGGCAGGGTCTGTGATCGTAAGTGAGACCATTGCTGGCTATGCCATGTTGATGAGTCCTAACAAGGACGAAACAGCTGTCCATGGCTACCACTGCCGGGTTGATATAGCTGTGCGCGTGCGTAAGGTATACCATATGGCCATACCGCGGAGGTAGTAGTGTGTGCCTCAGTTTATATTGTGGTCTTGAATTTTGCTAACCTATACTAGACTAAATTCCCCGAATCCCCCGTATCCTAGAGTAGTTTTTTGACCGGAGTTGTGTAAATTTAAACTTGCCAATTTGATTTTTTAACAATTTTGAGTGGCAATTTCCGGTTTCCCTAGTCTAGACTAAAATGTTCAACCAATTGATCAGTTTCCTGAAAAATGATACCCTATTCTAGACCCAAACTCTCTGATTTATATACCCTATCCCGGAGTAAACTGCTTGAAAACCATACCCTTCACAGCGGCACATACGTATATGGCCCATTTATGGCAGTAGTTCCACCAGGATCACTACTAATTTAGATAAACCACAGCATTTGGGAACGAGTCCCTGTTAGTTTCAGTGTGGACAGTGAGTGGCTTCTTTATAGTTTACGTTTCACAGAATTTTTTTTTGAGCAACGGTTTTTAGACGTGAGCACTGGGCCTACGGTTTATCGTCCCGAGAAGAATGGAAGGTCCAACTTTTTGCAAATGTTATTATAAAGATCCTCCGTGTTTTGACGTAGCCGGGATTCAGGGACGGCCCACGGCCTTCTATTCGGCAGACCGGCCCTCATCCAATTTAGCAAACTGCGTGAATGTTACGAGACGTTAAAAGTTTGTATTCATTTACTACTTAAACGGCCTGAGCTGTGTGGAAAAAGCCTACACACTCATGTAGTCTTAAAATAGCTGCTTTATGTTCCCCAGGATGAGTTGGTGCTCTTTGAAGAATTGTGATAAAATTCTACTACTCTTGAGCGCCTTTTTATTAGCTCTTACTAAAAATAGGCTTGTCAACCACAGGGAACCGACAGAATATGTGTTATGATTGGTTGCACCGTGCAATTAGATCACGTGATTTGCCTCAACACCTGTTGTGTACATCAGAATAAACCCTGCTCTTGTTCGAAGTACAATATACAGTTAACTCTCGATAACTCGAATTTGCGAACTTGAGCCAAAGTCGATTTTCCCTGGATTTCCTTCATACATTTACTGTAATTTTACTCTCGGTAACTCGAACCCAGATAACACGAACCTCCCGCTAACTCGAAATAATTTTTGTTTCCCCTCAGATCATTTCTATACAATTTTATCCTCGACAACTCGAACTATATTTTAGGCGTGTGACAAGTCGGGAAAAAAGTGTGCCGAAATCCAGGACACTGAATTTATTTCAAAACAAACGAGTCAATTCTTTTTTTCTTTCTTTTATGCTTCATGTTCCTTTACATATTACGAGAGTTATGGATGTTAGCAGAGTCTCGTTTTGGGTGAGCTCTGTTTGCTGGGACACAAAATAATTTCTGACTGTCTTGTAATGCGAGGAAGGAGGCCTTGTGCCTCGCTTCCGTGACTCACATAACCTGTGACATAAAGGACACCTTCGTGACAAATCAGCCGAATGACAGGAAAACCCCGCTTTGCTGGTAGCTGGAGAAATACAATATTGATCAGTCACATTCAGCATAAAACTATTTATTTCTTTCAGACATAAATCTCATTTATGTCGCTCCAGCTCAAGTTTAGTGTCCCTTAATCAAGCTTTGTTGCTTAATTCCTTTGCAGAACATTAATCTATATCTCTTTCTGCCCTAGAAGATAAGTGTGCATGATACTTGGGATCAATTTAGGTTTCTGAGAAACTGCCCCACCTACCCCTCCCCTAAGCCAACATTTTGCCCTAAGTGAGAAGTAAGTGTTAATGTTAGCTTATGGGAGGGGTAGGTGGGCAGTTTCCCAAAAACCTAAATTAATCCGATACTTGCATTCCCTCCCAATCTTTTTGCTTATTTTCTTAGCCTTTTTAGTAGACGCCTGTTTTGTTTGAGGGAATATTAGGGACCGGTCATTATTTATCGCCGGAGGAGGAATGGATGTTACCCCCCACCATGTTTTCATTTTCCAAGCAAATTTGAGTAGTCCCCCACCTGAATCCTTCCAAAGATTTCAGTGATCCCCACCTTTGGGTTCTCAGTTACGACTGATCCCCCTTTTTTTCTCCCCAAAACCAAGTGATCCCCCCTAAAATCCTCCCCCAGGCGATAATAAATGACTGGTCCCTTAGGTGTGCGCTATGAGCGATTGCATGCGCAAGAGTCTTTCAAGTGACCAAGGGCACGGGCGTTTCACGTCAAATGTTGTTTGTCTGCTAATTTTTTTTCTTTAGCCGGTCAAAAGAACTGGAATCTATGGAACAGAACTGTTTACACAGGAAGCAATAAAAAAGATTAACGCCCATGATGTTTCTAAGCCGATGTTTTTATACCTTGCTCATCAAGCGGTGCATTCAGCCAATAAGAACGATCCTCTTCAGGCTCCAGAAGATCTTGTTCAGGTAACCAAAAATACTATGTGGTGATGAGTGAACTAAGTGTGCATAAATTGTGTTTGACTCGTGTAAAATGAAATAAATGTGAGTTGTGCTTTGGTCGCATCGTGAGTCATGGTAACTCTTCGTTGACTTCCATCTAGTCCTAGAAAAAAGAGTAAGAATGCCAGGAGTCAAAGAAACTAATTTGATACCAGCGAAGTATACAAACTCACCTCCCTCTGAATTAGATCATCTCACGAGCCAACCTATTGACTTTGGAGGCTCCAGTGGGGAAAAGAACGTGAAAAACAAATTTACCAATACATTTCGCATCATTAGAGCAACATGTGAAATGAAAAAAATCATCACTTATAGGGAAAAAGTAAGCAAGATAGTGGGCAAGATATCATAACCTGAACAAGGCAAAGACATCCCCTGGCTTATATGACTGTAACTTTCAGCCCTTTCCACTGCTGTACAACGACAACTGTACTATGGTTGTACCTATGCCGAGGAAATGAATTCCATACCTATAAAAGCTCTTGTACGATACACGATAGTGAGCTCTCCCATAATAAAACATCGAATTTTTGAAGGGTTTAGATAACTAGCTCGGACGCCATACCCACTGGGCTACCGGGACCTCCGTGTTAAAGTCGTAGGGTCACATCCTGTTAACTGCGCGCATTCGGGCAGTCAACATCAACGTTGTAAAATTGAACTTCACGTCCTCTTCTGTTTGTTTTCGTCATTCTCTTCAGAAATTTAGCTTTATCAAAAGTCCACAAAGACAGAAGTACGCAGCTATGGTAACAGCCCTGGATAACTCTGTCGGAGAAATAAGGGCGGCTCTTGCCAGTCGCGGAATGCTGCAGGATTCTGTTATAATCTTTACCACAGATAATGGAGGAGCACCCTATGGACTTAACTGGTAAAAAAACTATTATTGGATGAGGTTTTAGAGATATCTGGAATAATCAAGAGTTATCAGCCGAGCCGAAGGGCGAGGCTGATAACACTTACATTGTTTTCAAGAAAATAAGGAAAATGTGGAAATAATTCATTGCGCGCACAACCTATAGATAAGTCACTAATCTGGTAGCAGATAGCGAACTAATCTCTTGGTTGCGCTGATTTCCAAAATTAGCTGTAGGCTTTTAGCCAATGAGAAGACAGATACGGAATACAATGTATAATAATATAAATATAAAATATGTCTTTGTGTTTGTTGCTTCAAAAGAAAACTGATGCGTGTCGTGTTTCTCATTTGATATGAAGCCAAAAAATTAATTCCCCACACGTATTAGGGAATCCGGGAAATTTTTGCTGGAGGAATCAGGAATCATGGGCTTTGGAATCCTTAATACTTTTCAAGGAATCCGGAATCCCACTAACAATTAGAATCCGGAATCCAAACTCCACTGAAAAACAATCCGGACGCCATTTCCTGGAATCCAGAATCCATAGCTTGGAATCCAGAATCTAAGACTGTCGAAGATTACTTTACTTGCAGGAAGCGAAATGATCATGATCGCTGTTTCAATCCTGTTTCTCTTTCAGGAACGCGGGCTCAAATTATCCTTTCCGAGCAGGCAAAGCAACCGTTTGGGAGGGTGGAGTAAAAGGAGTCGGATTCGTCTATACTGCTAGTGATCTCATTAAACAAAAGAAACGTGTGTGTACAGAACTTATCGATGCCACAGACTGGCTACCAACCCTTTATCACTTAGCAGGAGGTGATGCGGAGCTTGTATCGAAAGGAGCGGATGGAATGAACGTCTGGGAAACAATAGCAAATGATGCACCATCACCTCGGGAAGAAATACTACATAATATAGACCCGAGGTTAGTTTCTCCCTACACTCAGGGAAATGAATGCTTTTTACTACAGATCACATCTTGATACTGTAGAATTAGATGTCTGATCTTCTTGAAAGACCACGATTTTATCATTTCAGATTTTAAGTAATATAAGTTGGTTGGTTCAAGCAGCCAAATGTTTCCGTGATCTCTTTCCTACTCTATATACCTTGTTGATTCCTATCTAACTCGTTTCCGTTGCCACTGTTAACAAAAACATTGGTCAAATTGAAAATGAATTATACTTATAAGGCGTTTTTGCTAATATCGGAAGATGGTTAAGTTTCACCCATCACTAAGCCAAATTTTGAGGAAGGTTTTCTTGTCTAAGAACAACGTGACTCGTGCGTACAAAACATTGTTGAAACGTTACTCTGAGATACGGTGATGATAACACGAAGTGTTAGTCTAAGCAAAACATAGAAAGCTAAAAACGAAAATGAAACAAAATATTAATCTTCGATAAGTGCTAATCAACCTTTCAGAAACCGGGCCTCCGGGTTGTTCAAAGCTGGGTTAAGATAACCCAAGGTTAATCTGAAATTTGAATTTAGATATTAAAGCTTTTATAGCAAATTCAGTTAAATTCTACAATTGTCTACAATTTGTTGAGAGGATGCTCTAAATAGAATAAAGAAAATTATCGAAGAAAAAGCTGCAAACAAAACATTATCCGGATTAAAATTTAACCCGGGTTAGCGTTAATCAGCCTTCGGACAACTATGAGCCATTCCTTCATTTGATGTTTTGGCTGTTTTCTTTTCTATATTTATTACAAGGTTAAAGTTTGAAGGCATTCGGAAAGGAAACTTCAAACTTGTAGTGGGAATGGATGACACGTTTGAGTTAGGTTGGCATGCGCCATATCCAACTTTCAGACCACCCCCCTGGCAAGGAAACCCGCTAACTCTTCCGGGAGCGGTAATCCATTGTGGCCCTTGGACAAAAGGGAGGAACATGTGCAATTCCAAGAATCACCAGGCATGTCTGTTTAAGCTCGATGACGGTGAGAATAATCAATAACTTTTAAAGTTACCGCTTTGAGGCAAATCTATTATCAATGGCCATGAAGGTTTTTTAAGGCTTACCCCTCTCCTTCCACCAAAAAATATAGACAACTCTGTCATTAGTTAACATTACAATAAAATTTAAGCTCACGGGCAGGCAGGAGCCCATGATAGATTATAGGCTCCTGATGATGGAAAAGGGTGGAACCTAAGTGTTCATAAAAAAACAAAAAACGTAAAGGCATATCAAAATACGAAAAAGGACTAGCACCATGGGAGGAACCCAATTTCTCCAATCAGAATCGGCTCCTGGTCGAACCTATGACCCGGTACTAGTCCAGATGCTCTACCACCGGGCTACAAGACACTCGTGGGAGCATAAGGCTATTAAACGATATACAACGGTCACCTTGGGTACAGAAAAAAATGGCTATTGTAGGGAGGTAGCCGTTGTAGAGAGGTTGAAACAAGAGTGTATGGACTTCTCGTTCTTGGTTCTTTATATTTTGGCTGATTTGATCTCTTTTCTAGAGATCCAACGTTTACAACTAACAGGATCTTCGTCCACGGTTTTTGCAGTTAATTTAATCCTGTTGTAGAGAGGTGACAGTTGTGGAGAGGTGTCCCTTCGTGGTGGTGCGACTGTAGATTCATAAGCAAACTGCATACTGCTTGGACTGGGATGTCGATAGGTTCGGCTTATTCGTAATAATATCAATTTGATGATGAATTAAGTCTGGTGTATATCAATAAAATTAAGTCTTCTTGTTTTAGATCCTTGTGAATACAAAGATGTTTCCCACATTTATCCTGGGAAAGTAAGGGAGCTGAAGGAAAGATTGGATTATTACCGCAGTACGGCTTTGCCAGTAGTTTATCCAATGATCAGCCCCCAGGCTGATCCCAAAAATTTTAACGAGTTTTGGGGTCCATGGGAAAAGCTTACGGATAGATCTGAATATTATGCTTCGAAAAAGATTTGCAAACGGGTACTGTTAAAGCAGGTCAAGAATGGATTGCATCCTTCGCACTATTATAGAACTGGGTGACACTTCATGATATCGTATACACAATATGCAACGGAATTCTATCATGTAATACGAATTCGGGAGACATTGATGTCAAGAACTAAAGGGTTATTCGTCTTAAAAAGTACATTTATAAGACTTATTTAACGAGGACTAAACCGCTGATCCTGTAGAGCCCCCACAGGAGGAGGCAAATCAGTTGGCTATTTAAAATGGTAATGAAGCTTGTGGTTAGAGCGGGACTCCAATCAAGTGGTCACGTGGCTCTGTTCAAGGATATTGAAGGCTGCGGCACCAACCCCACCTCCTCTAAGTCCGCCAGTTTTGAGTGTCACCGGAAGACGAATTAAAACTATTATGTAATTTACTGCCCAATCAATAGAGGTGTTGACCCTGATGTAAATACCCAATCACATCTCAAAGTAAATATCTGCTGCTGGTACCAGAAACAAGAAAAAACATGTAAGAAAGTCAGGATTACATTTACTCAGTAATTACCGGCTATGTAAATACTATTCAACTGTCGAAATATTTTTATAGTCCTAAATGGAACTACTCCCGCATTATATGGTGTCAAAAAACTAGCAAGGAGCTAATAACAATTTATTTTTAATATACGGTAAAGGCGATATTTACATTGTTATCGGTATAAATACCATTCATAATCTATATATTTGCACTCTATTCTTTTCTATTCTTTCAGTTTTCATAGTTGTAAACCTTAAGGCAATAATAATTATCCTTTTTAATAACAGTTAATTTCTTGTTTAACAATTATCCAGTTGCTTTGTATCTTTCTCTAATTAAATAAGATGGAAACATCTTGCTTGCGATCCTTAAAACAACATTTCATATTATTAACTATCTCCTGTGCACATTTTTTTAATGAGTACATATGTAGGGTAGGAAAGATATTCTCGCATAGGTTTTAAATAACTATAATTTTAACCTGTAAAATATTTATTTAAGCCTTAGTAGACAGTGAAATGCTAATAAATCGAGATGAGACTAATAAAACAATTCGTTCTCTTCACTGCGTAATTAACCTCTTCTCTCGACCAAACTTAGACCTTACTGTCCCCTTGAGGCGAAATCGTATTGCAAACGTTTCTAAAAGAGTAGATGCAGCTGCAACTGGGAGAGAAAACGGGGGAGAACGAAAAATCTTATTTCGTTTCTACATAGTTTCTATTCTCTCATACCAAGTGACGTCACAATTTGACACATTTGAAACTTAGTACGCTGAGTAGGTCCGTCGCTTCAGTAAACATGAAAACCTTTGTCAGTCAGCTGCATGTCGAATAAACTTTGCTCGTTATCAAATTAACGTAATTATGAATGTTATCTCTTTGACAGTAAAAGACATTAATACTCAATTCATCACAACTTTTATAGCTGTCACAACATGAACAATTTCCACATAAACTGTAAGCTTTGTGATTGACACATGAATCGAGTTTCTTACCGCTTTTACACAGTTTCAATTAAAGACAAATCGAAAACAGGTTAAGAAATCCGAAACTGTTTCGCCTAAAGATTTGATAAAGAGGTTCGAACCTTCTTTGACTTCTTTGATCAGCCCTAGGAAGAAGGTAACTGTGAAACAGTACTTTAACAATAAAAACGTGAATAATCACAATTTAGGATCTGAATCCACACATCCAACAGTGTGATGGAAGTACGCGATATCGATAGAGGTTTGATTCCTTCGGTGAGCTAGAGTATCAAGATATCCTCCAAGGAAGAAAACTGCTACTAAAATCTTATCTAAGCTTATTCTTGTATAAACTCTCAATTATTGAGCGTGTTTTCAACGGGTAAGCAGTCTCCAGATTCCTTTAAGCTTTGTGATTTAGATGCCACTTCCTTGCCCATATTAGGGACCTTAAGCTAATTACGACGACGACGGCAGTGAAAACGTCGGTTGAAAAATAAATTTGCGTTCTTTCAAGCTTAACCGCGTCTATCTGGACCCGCTCAATATGTCAAATGCAGGCGACGTTTCCTTCTTAATATTCAGGTTCAATTCAAAAAGAGGAAGGAAAATTCGTCGTCGCATGTCCACGTCCTTTATAAAACGTCAAATTAGGAGGTTTCACGTCGTAGTCGTGCAGTAGACGTCAAAGAAAATGTACTAAAAAGCGTGATGCACGTGCAGAGCTGTTGTATTGATCATTAAACCTATTGTTTTTTTATCGTCGTCGTAGCTGCTTAAGCTCCCTAACTATTCCCATACGCCCGACTTCAACACACCCTTTATCATCAGTTTCTGTGTTTCTAGCTCTCGCTGTACAGTAAATCCATGTTAGTAACAGCAGTATGAGGAACAGATGCGCGCGGCTTGCGTAGATAGGCATTCACGGCAGATCCACGTCTGCTAAGGTACATGCTGACGGCGGAACCCCTTCGCGTACTTCCAACTGTCTGCTCCAAGTAAACCCTATTAAACAAGCGTCTGAATGCGCGCCTATAATTACGATTCATACAGGTGTAAATGACTGGGTTGAGGCACGAATTCAAGTACTCCATCCACTTAAACATGTTATACACCCCTATAGGATAACTAAATTTCTTGTGGTTGGCGTGGCCGACCACGATAACGAAAAACGGGAGCCAGCAAATTACAAAAGCACCAATGACAACCGCGATGGTTTTTGCGGCTTTCATCTCCGTGGCATGATCTTTACCGCCAGTGGATCCAATTCTATGCACTTGGATTTTCACAACGACAAATATGACAGTGTACATGACGATAACAAGTGACAAGGGGAGAAAAAAGCTCACTGCAGACACAAAATGTAGATAGCTGCGACCAGGCCACTCGATAAGCCTCAAACAAGCGATAATAGCCGAGTATATCCACATAGATAGAATGATAATCACAGCGCTCTTGGGCGTAAGTATCTTTGGATATTTGAAGGGCTTCACAATTGCCAGCATCCGATCCACACTGACTGCTGTAAGATTCATTATAGAGGACGTGCCACTGAATATGTCGATGCAGTTCCAAAATAAAGTCAGTTCATCTGAAAAGTTGCTAGGCCATTCAGTATTGTTAAGTTGAACTATGAACCAGAAAGGCATAGCAAGCAGAGCAACCAAGATATCTGCTACGCTTAAACTAACAATAAAGTAGTTACAGATGGTCCGTAGGCTTGCAAAACAGTAGAAACTGACGCAGACCAGGATGTTCCCGAACAGCGTAACCAAAATAAGAATGCCAACGAAAACGGCGGCGACAATGCTACTTGAGGTGGGATTAATACCCGTCAGTGGAGGTGCGCCCGTCATATTTCCTGCCTCAGACATTTTGAGAAGTTTGTGCCGATAACTTTAATGCGCCTGTGTGTACAAGAAACAGAACAAAAGAAACATCAACATCATTTGCATGACTGAATGAACTTGACAAACATCAACAGAACAATGAGTCGGCTATGTTCTAAACATAATACTTAATAAAGTCAGCACAAATACGTGTGGTCCGCATGTGACCTAGGAAACAAAGATCTTGTGCTCGTTCCTGTTTTAACCGACAATCATTCCTCGATGTAGGAGAAGCAACGATCGACCATATGCCTGTTGTTGGCTTGCCAGTGTGAATAATTTGCAGCGCAATAAATAGCTTTCATTGTTTAACAATAAAAATTTGTCGGAGGCATTAAAGATGTCTTAATGCCTTAATCGTTATTAACGCCTTTCTTTTGGTTAACAAACTTGGACATGGAACAAATTATATTGAGGTTAGCACTTTAGGGCTATTATTAAACAGACAGAAAAAGCTCCAAACGGGGCTCTTTGTCCAGAGAGGTAATCAATTAATCAGAGGATCACTTATTATTTAATTAAATTGATAAATTTTAATGATGGAACCAGTTAAGAGTGTAATTAAATGGTTTTCGTTTGAGTTCAAGGTGAAAGCCATAACTCAATTGCACGTCTGTGAATTCATCTGTTCGATTTTAACGAAAATTAAAACAAGACATTCATTTGATTACAAGATCAATCTAGATCAAAAGCCTTCGAAGCCAAAGACTTAGAGTAGGCTCTACATTCAAAGTTCCCCAAATAATGTTTGCATTATAGCAAATACTGACGACGTCATCCAGGTTCAGCCGGTATTTACACATTAAGTAAAACAAATGTCATGCCCTGAAGCTATTCAAATATTTCTTTTGGATGCTAAATTAAAGTTTTCATTCCTGACTTTTCCGTTGTTGTTTCATTTAATATTCTGTTGTTTTTGAGTTGAAAGCGAAGTAACTATTTTCTTCTACAGAAGTCGGATGCTTGAGGAATAAGAGATCAGTTTCCCGGCCACCGGGTCAGTTTCCAACCGGTTTCCTGAACACATTTAGCCATTTTCGTTGACAGCCATGGGTCGCTGCGAAAGGTCCATATTTGCTATTTGCATTCCGGATATAAAAATGTTTCCCTTTTTGACACAATGTAAACCGAAACATTGATCAACTGTAAATTTGCACTCCTTATTCCTCACGATTTTCGCTGAATTCTTCCATTTTATGGTTAGCTCCTTCTACTAATTCTTATTGTATTCCATACCTTTCAATTCGCTACTTTCACATTGCCCATAATGCACTTCATTCCCCCTACCACTACCACCCGCCGTCCCGTCTCCTCACAATTTCGCATAACCCTACCATTCATTGCAATTTCTTCCCGGCATTGCAGCAATGGCGGGTAAACAAGGTGTATTATGGGGAATGTAAAATTGGCGAACGGGTTGCTGAATGATTGCTATAGGTTTGTTACTAGCATTGATAACGACCAAAGTCAGAGCATTGAAAGGATGAGCAGTGTACAAGTGCTTTGAAAAAAGAAAGAGAAAAACCAATACAATTTTTTTCTATTCATATATCGCCGATGTGGAATTTGGGCAATACTGAAGACAATATGAATACCATAAATTTTCCAGAATAAAAAATGTTCATTGAAGGGCTTTGCCTACTCATCCAGACAGATCGTATACTCTTTATTTTGTATTTCATATTAGCCGTCTCTTA